TTATCATAAATTTGAAATAATACTAGTTTGAAAAAAATTATATTAGTATAAATTAATATGTTATATATTTGAATTGATTATCTTATAAATTAGAATTTATTACTATTATATTAGAAGTTAGAAATTATTATGGTATAGAATTAGAATTGATTGTTTTATAAATTTGAATTTATTACGATTTTGTTAGAAATTAGAAATTATCGTACTATATACTAGAATTTATTATCTTATAAATTAGAATTTATTATTATTATGTTATAAGTTAGAAATTATTATGATACAGAATTAGAATTGATTGTCGTATGAAGTAATATTTAGTACTACTATGTTAGAAGTTAGAAAGTATTATGGTGTTATACATTATAATTATTATCTTATAAATTAGAATTTATTACAACTATTTTAGAAGAAGCTATCGAACGGGCAAAAAAAATTGCAATTATATGTGGTTTCGAATTGATTAGAATTTATTACTACTGCTATAAGAAAAAACGTTGAAATTAAATTTAGATATGACACTAACATCATGATCCCAAGCGTGGTAAAATTGATTCGATTAAATACAAGTCCATTAGAGAATGAAAGTCAACAGCAAGGCATTTTCATTAATACTTCAATTAAAAATGAGCTTTAATGTTTTTCCTACTATAATATTCACACGAATCATATAACTCTGAGAAAAGTGTCAAACAATCTTGTCATAAAATTCGGTCTAATCATACTGAATTAATCGGTCTCAATGAATTGCTCGAACAGAATCCGACTTTTTTTGTTCAATTTGTTATTTAAATTGGTATTTATAAATTTCAAATTTAAGTCATAATATTATTTTGTATTTATAAATTTCAAATTTAAGTCATTATATTATTTTGTATTTAAAATTTATTATCGAGTTGAAAAGGAGCGGATTTAAGAAAAAAAAGGGATTGCAATTTTTAATAACATCACTCATTAGTATTTTGTTAGAGATAATTAATATTATGTTATATAACATAATAATTTATAAGTTCTAACANTGTTAGAACTTATAAATTATTATGTTATATAACATAATATTAATTATCTCTAACAAAATACTAATGAGTGATGTTATTAAAAATTGCAGTCCCCTTTTTTTCTTAAATCCGCTCCTTTTCAACTCGATAATAAATTTTAAATACAAAATAATATAATGACTTAAATTTGAAATTTATAAATACAAAATAATATTATGACTTAAATTTAAAATTTATAAATACCAATTTAAATAACAAATTGAACAAAAAAAGTCGGATTCTGTTCGAGCAATTCATTGAGACCGATTAATTCAATATGATTAGACCGAATTTTATGACAAGATTGTTTGACACTTTTCTCAGAGTTATATGATTCGTGTAAATATTATAGTAGGAAAAACATTCAAGCTCATTTTTAATTGAAGTATTAATGAAAATGTCTTGCTGTTGACTTTCATTCTCTAATGGACTTGTATTTAATCGAATCAATTTTACCACGCTTGGGATCATGATGTTAGTGTCATATCTAAATTTAATTTCAACGTTTCTTCTGATAGCAGTAGTAATAAATTATAATCAATTCGAAACCACATATAATTGTAAATTTTTTTGCCCGTTCGATAGCTTCTTCTAAAATAGTAGTAATAAATTCTAATTTATAAGATAATAATTATAATGTATAACACCATAATACTTTCTAACTTCTAACATAGTAGTACTAAATATTACTTCATACGACAATCAATTCTAATTTATAAGATAATAAATTCTAGTATATAATACAATAATTTCTAACTTCTAACAAAATCAAAATAAATTCAAATTTATAAAACAATCAATTCTAATTCTATACCATAATAATTTCTAACTTATAATATAATAGTAATAT